ATTATCAGAATGAATTCAACTTGGTCCTAGCTTCCATTTACTCTGACCATTGGATAAGTAGAAATTAGCTCTTGTATTGTAATTTTGAGACATTCATAGATATGATACAATATTCTCAATACTGAGATAAGTTGCAAGCTATCTGGCTAAGTTTGTATGTGTCGTTTCTAGCTAATTACCTTTGTATTCGAAGACTAGTAAGATATTAAGTTTGGGAGTATTTTATGAGTATGTTTTCACACGAATGTTATACCAAATTAACCTAATTATTTGCCTAATTTTTAGGGTTATAGAACATTTTTAATGTGTGTGCTAGTGTTGTTTTGAAGGTATGGTGATTAGGTGAAAAATGGAGGTGTTGAAGCAAGCCAAAGTGAAAATGGACAGAAAAATGGCGCCTAAGTGCCATACAAGGAGCGTTCAAGAATCGGGAAAAGGAAGAAAAAATTGCAGCAAGGTACTGCCACCATAGCGCCTAGGCGATGCCCTTTTACCCGGAAAGAAAAAGAATTTTAGCAAGGCGCTGCCACTATAGCGCCCAAGCACTACCTGCAAACCTGCCACCAAGACTCCAATTTGGCCAAGGACATATAGGAAACTATAAATAGACCAAAGAGGGCATGAATTGGGGGTTACAAACATTGAAAAAAAAAAAAAAGAAAATATACAAGGAGAGATCGAAGAGGAAATTCACGAGAAGAAATTCATCACNACTGAAACAGACACAGAATTTGGACAACGACTCAACGCCCATACGCTATACCACAAGCGCCCAAGCCTGCACTAGCCCAGAAAGTAGAATTTTAACAGAGATGCAACGCCTAGGCGCTGCACCCATAGTGTTTAGGCACTGCACCGCAAATTTTAGGGTTATGTTGTTTTGGGCCGCGAAAAGCCCTGAAAGACTCCAATTTTTGGACAATCGTGTAGGGGAGTATAAATAGAAGAAAAGAGGTACAATTTAGGGGTTCCACACATTGAGAAAGGAGGATACAACGAGAGATCGAAAAACCCAATTCAAAGAAGAGAAACATCACGGAATTCGAGTTTAAAGCGTTGATTGGAAGTGGAAGAAGATCTTGGTGCAAGATTTAATTCGTTTCTACATCTTTATTAAAATTCGGTACTGCATTCCATTACTTTTACCTTTTTATTTTTATATTATGAGTGACTAAATTTCAGATTAGGGAAAACAATGTAATCGACTTGTGATCCTTTATTTTTCTATTCAAGATTTATGTGATTTATTCTTATATGTGTTGGTTTTACTATGAGTTTAATGCATTAAATTACCTGATCAATAATTTGATGATTATGTAAGTCTCTTACGAATCGAGCGGTGAGTTTGAGACTCAGATCAATAATAAAATTCGATAAATTAGTATAACGTGTAGAGATATTTATTCTAATTATTGGGGTCATAATATAAATTTTTAGAACTGGTGTTTCGTTTAACTAAGGGTAATTCACATAGAGATATTGAATTGAATTAATTGAATAGACTCAATGAGAACTTGAGAGGGGTAAATTGAATACCATAAGAGAATTCGACCGAACACTACACTAGGTTAGAATCTTGGAATAGGAATTAAGGTGACCATTAGATGAATTTGTTTTGCCCTAATATTTCTTACATACGTGAATCTTTGATCAATCATTGTTTCAAATTTTATCATAATTTCCATTAGCTTTAGGTATTTACTTCATTATTAAAAATCAATAGCCACAACTATATCAATTCTTTATTTGTTCACTTTCATCAAATAGGAGAAGAAAAAGTAGATTAAGACTAGAGTATAGTCCTCTGGGAAAGATAATTCGGACTTAAAGGTCCACTTATTACTTGTTACAATATCGTACTTGCGATAGAAAAAACGCAACAAAGAGGAACTTCAGAAACGTCGTTTGCATATAATGACTTCAATTAAAAGTGTTCAATGGCTAGCATTTCAAGGTTTAGGGTTAAGAGGTAACGATGAATCACCATAATCTCTTAATCGTGGGAATTTTATATAACTAATAAAGTAAGTGACATATTTGATTCCAAAAATTAGTAAAGTTGTATTGGAAAATCCACCACAAAATGCCCTAATACACTGCTCCAACTTTTCAGGAAGAAATTTTGCATATTATGGCCAATAGAGTATGACGAATGATTCGAGAAGAAGTTGGGGATAAATGCTTTTGTATTCTTGTTGATGAAGCACAAGATACATCCAATCAAGAACAAATGGCCATTATCTTGAGGTTTGTGAATAGCCGTGGCAGTTTGATAAAACGTTTCTTTGCAATCAAAAGAGTTAGTGATACCACATCATTGAATCTCATAAACAAAATATGTGGTGTTCTTGCTGAATATGAACTTCAGGTGAATAAAAAGAGAGGACAAGGGTATGACAGTGCGAGTAATATGAGCGGTGCTTGGAATTGACTTCAAGCATTATTCAGTAGAGATAGTGATATGCATTCTATGTCCATTGTTTTGCCCATCGGTTACAGTTGACATTGGTCGCAGCAGCTAAAGATGTCCCTGTCATTTGGAATTTCTTTTCTCATTTAAACAGGATTGTCAATATTACTACTTCTTCTAAACAAGTTACTGAGTTGCAAGCTTCTCATAGAGAGGAAATTCAGCATATGATGGCTACTGGGGAGCTCAAATCTAGAAGTGGAGCCAATCAAATGGTTAATTTGCAGCGGTCAGGAGCTACTTGTTGGAGTTCACATTATNAGTGCGAGTAATATGAGCGGTGCTTGGAATTGACTTCAAGCATTATTCCGTAGAGATTGTGATATGCATACTATGTCCATTGTTTTGCCCATCGGTTACAGTTGACATTAGTCGCAGCAGCTAAAGATGTCCCTGTCATTTGGAATTTCTTTTCTCATTTAAACAGGATTGTCAATATTACTACTTCTTTTAAACAAGTTACTGAGTTGCAAGCTTCTCATAGAGAGGAAATTCAGCATATGATGGCTACTGGGGAGCTCAAATCTAGAAGTGGAGCCAATCAAATGGTTAATTTGCAGCGGTCAGGAGCTACTTGTTGGAGTTCACATTATGACTCTATAAAGTGCTTGATAGATATGTATAGTGCAACTCGGAAAGTGCTTGAATATATTTGTGACTATTGTTCAAATGGCAGATCTTTGGCTAAAGCTCGTGGTGCTTACAAGAAGTTGGTGAGTTTTAAATTCATATTTATCTTGCATTTGATCCATATAATTATGAGAATCAATGATGTTCTTTGTCAAACCCTTCAAAAAAAAAATCTCAAGACATCTTGACTGCTTTAAGGTTTGTGTCTACTACAAAACAATTGCTTCAGAAATTGAGAAATGACGGTTGGGAAGAATTTCTTCAAGAAGTGAAAATTTTTTGCTCAAGAAATGATATTATAATGCCTAATCTAGAAGGTTTGTATAACATTGGTCGTTCTAGTGATGAAACTACAGTGGAGCATTATTATCACTATGATGTCTTCAACAAATCAATAGATTTTGAGATGACTGAGTTAAGTATAAGATTTAATGACATATTAGTAGAACTCTTTTCTCTCAGTGCTGCTTTGAATCCTAAAGATTCATTTAGATCATTTGATAGTCGTAAATTTGCACACTTGTAGAGAAATTCTATCATCAAGATTTTTCAAAGCTAGATATTATTACATTAGAATTTGAGTAACCACATTATGAGTTAGATATGAAGGGTGAGCCTCAATTTCAAGTATTTACACTTGCTGAGTTATGCAGACAGTTGATTGAGAGTGGAAGGTCGGAAAGTTACATTATTGTGACTAGATTGATTCGTCTTATATTGACATTACCTGCTTCTATCGTAAGCACCGAGCAGGCATTTTCAGCAATGAAACATGTGAAGACGACACTTCGCAACAAAATGGAGGATGACTTTCTTGTCGATTGTATGTACTTTTTATAGAAAGAGAACTTGTTGAGAAAATCGATCTAAATTCTATTATAGATGAATATTATGTTTCAAATTCTCGTCGGGAACGACTTAAATAAATAATGTTCTTTAATGAATTTTTAAAAAAAATCCTAGATCCGTCCCTGATCATATAGTACGAGAACAAGTTCAAAGTGGGGGAGATTGAGATAGCCTACATCCAAATAGGAAAACAAGTAGCTGATATATTTATGAAACCACTGGGACAAGTCATTTTTCGGTCACACCTTAGCAAGTTGGGATTTCTTGACCTTCACTCTCCAACTTAGGGGGAGTATTAAAGGAAAGACAATAACACTGTACTCTGATCAAGGAAACCATATATAACTGGGATTATGAATAATTGGAGGTTTGATATCTGCCATCTTTGTCTCATATCAATTACAGGAACCTTGTTGTAATTAGCAATTAGTCAGTATAGACAATAACACTGGACTCTGATCAAGGAAATCATATATAACTGGGATTATGAATAATTGGAGGTTTGATATCTGTCATCTTTGTCTCATATCAATTACTGATATCTTGTTGTAATTAGCAATTAGTCAGAGAACAGTTACCTAGTATAGCTTTTCTTGACACGTATAAAAAGCTTATGTGATCAATAATTCAAGAGATAACAGAAATTATTCACCCTCATATTGTTTTCCTTTTTATTTTACAATAATTACCATTCATCGAGGTTGTTTGCAGCAACCATCGAATATTCTCTTAACATATATAACAATAGCGAAGCTCGAACCAATGCTTTTTACTGGATAAAACTTGATCCAGCTTAAGGTACAATGTTGAGAAACTGAACTGATCAAAAGATTAGTGCGTATATTTTGAAAATACAAGTCTGTGGCAATATGTTTTACAAGCTGAAAATAATGGTGACTGAATGCTATTTCGTCTACACCTTTGCTTGCCCCAATTGAGTTTCTTTATGTATCTATATAAAGAATGAAGAGAATAAAGTAGTATGTACATAAAAAATGAAACGAATGCAATTGATCTTAACCTCAGCCAAAAGCTTGGGGGGATAAAGTTTTCATGTATCTTCTGCAAAAACTTTGAATACATAATCTCGAAAACGCCTCGAGTATTGTTTCGGATCGACGGCTGATATGGAGTTCGGATCATATTGAATGGACTTGTATGCATGCTCGAGTTTCTTTGTAATATCATAGTCTTGAAGAATGTCTATTATGCCGAAAAACATCACGACGTCATAGTACTCTCCAGTTGGTTCTCCTACTAGTTCGCAGTCATTCGTTCTTTCAACTCTTTCTACTCTTCCAGGCATGTTGATTCCCAAACTTATACTAGCCCATCTGTAAACATGAAAACTTTTGACGAAACGTTTGGGGAAAGACAAATACTTTTCGGAGAAAAAGTTTGAAGATATGAGAACCAAGTGCATGCGTAGTGCACAATACTATATAGGACCAAAAGCGTCAAATAAGAAAAAGAAGTAAAATCTTTTTCATACTACCGACCAGTCCCGATAGTACTGCTTACCAGAGATACTTCAATTGTCTTACCCTGCAGGATCTAAAAGCAACTGATCCACATCTGCTTGGGAGAGGCGCGGAACTGAATCAGTTTCCAAGCTACCATTATCTGCAGCAAAAGAAGAAATTATATTTCTTGGCTTTCGAAAGGCCTGAATTATGATAAAGAAAGTCTTCCAAAAGTCCATTTTTAAGCCTTGAAGATGTTTATTCAAGTGATTTAAGTACAAATTCTATGAGGACAGGCTAGCATTTCACGTTATTACCAAGTTCGACTAATACCTTGAATAGTTAAAGTTATTGATTAATCTAACTTCAGCCTCCTATTGAAATTTCCAGAGTACTAAAATGAAAAGAATATCTAAAAAGCTTCGTCTATTGTGAACAAGTAATACCAACTGGTGTTAGAGCCCCAGATGCAGTATGTTCATCATTTGTTGATTCTCTGAAGTGAAGACCAACCAGCATACTGTAATCCATAATCCTCTCCTGTTCGAGGAAATCACAGTCCCTATCAACTTGCCTGCAGAAATGAACGAGTGTCATCAATTTTTATTACATTGAAATGGAATCTGAAAATGCCAGAAAATGGAAAAGAAAACTGAATTTTACCTTCGAAATTCTTGAAACCATGTCTTTTGAAGTCGGAAAAGGAAGTTGAGATCAAGATCCTTCAGAGTTGTAGTTGCATCAATCTCTGATTCAGGCTTATCAGTCAATCGGCCAAAAGTGGATCCTTTCAAGTCATATCGTCTGTGGATCATATAATCGGAACAGAAGAGGTTTCCCATGATGATGAAACGAACCTAAATCATCAATCACATTAATCTCGTACTGACAATTATGTTACATGAAAACCTTAGTTCTACTCATACCTTCTTTTGAGCAGGTCCGTTCAGCTTGACACAATGCAGGCCATAGTATCTTGTCACTAGAGTGTTCTCAAAAGCACGAACGTGATTATAATAAGCGTTTAACATCCTTAAAAGCACCTAAATATGAAATGGAAACATGAGTAGAATGCTACATTTGAGTATTGTTACAAATATTTAACTATTAGGAGTTGAAATCTCACTTTTACTTCTGCCTTCTTCATCGTCTTTATCATATAACGGTCATCGTTGGTTAAGTAAAAGAAGCTTCCACTTTTTCCTGGTGAGGAAAGTTCTCGTAGTGCATCATTCCCACATATGGACAACATGTAATCTGCTGGATCCACCTTGAACAACATTCTTAAAGACCTGAAAGGTATGATTGATAAACTAGGACTTTTCTTGTGGTTCTGAATTTAGAAATACAAACCTCTATTCAGATTCATTCAGAAGTCGAATCCCATGTTAAGTTGTTGTAAAGAAAGAATGACAAAGGAACACGTCTCAGAAAATCATGATCTGCATGTGGTGCAAGGGCTAACCTGAATACTTTGGGGCAATAATCTTTCCATCTGAATTCACAGGATTGGTGAGGGGGAGTATGTTTGGATCCCTCGGAGGGAAATTTTGTCCAATACTTTTCCTTGGGGTCGAAAGCTGAAGGCTTCAGATCAAGTGATGGACATGGACCAGGTCTTCCAACTGAATGCCTGTGGATTATTAGGCAATGTTAGTGATGAGAATCAGGGTCAACATATAAGTACAAATACAAAATAGAACAATTCGCCCTGACTTTGATTCTCACAATGCTTGTGGAAGGCTTGCCTAGTGGTTTTATAAGCACATCACACATCTTTTAAACTAGCAAATGAGTAATAAAATACAAGGCAGAGGTCTTCCACGAGCCGGGGAGGGGGGTTCAGAATTAGCTGTTGAAACTATCAAAATAATCAACATTTGAGTGTATGCAAGAGATAAACTGAGTTTAGATTTCTGAATTGTAAACTACTTGTAATGTTAATACTGAAATGTGATCAAAATGGAGAAGTTCAGACAAAATGATTCTTGAAAAAGTAGAATGAAAATGAATGTCAAAATAGATCCTCTATGTTAATCATTCACATAATATTCATATGAATGGCCTCCAAATCTTGTCAAGAAAACAAAAAAATCTCTCCCATAAAAATTAAGATCAAACAATCAAATTTTGAAGCTAAAATGAAACACAGAGGCGTGTATTGTTACCTAATCCCCAGCTGCAAATTCAGCATAAGATCATAATTCCTATGCCCTTTACATATTGTATCCCCTTGTCTTTTCACCACTTTAGGTATCCTAAGAGGGCTGCCTCGAGTACTTAATCTGTCAGGTTGTAAACCTGCCAACGCATCGTCACCTTCATTTCCTGCCATCCTCATCCTTTCTATGGCTCCGGCACTAGTAGGAGAGGGCACAGCACCATCTGATAAACGCATTCTACCAAATTCCCTATCTACCCCTGCATCTATTCTACCATCAACTGACATTCTTCTTGGCCTTACGCTTGAATCCGAGCCCTTGGATGACCTCCAAACTGCAAGCTTCTTTTGTGAGGGCCATATCGGAACTTTCTCATTTGGACAAATTATGCAATCCTTCAAGTCATTGTTGAAAACCTCCTGAGGATTCCATTCAAGATTTTCTTCTAGTAAGGATCCAGAGGGGTAATAAGTTCCATTCTGTTCAGTAGGATCCTTGCTCCAATTTCCCACATAGAAACTCCCATCTGCCCATTTATATGTTCCATTCCCTTTGGGAAATCCATCTTCCCAATTCCCATCAAAAATATTCCCATTAGTCCAACACATTTTCCCTTTCCCACAAATCGTTCCATTTTTCCATTCCCCCATGTAAAAATTCCCATTCTTCCATTGATACATCCCCTGCCCTTCCTGCAACCCGCGACTCCATTCGCCATCATAACTATCACCATTAGCATATTCCTTAACACCATGTCCATGCTTTAAATTCATCACCCAAGAACCTCTATATGTATCTCCACTAGGCCCCGTATACGTACCTTCTCCATCCATGAATCCACTCTTGAAATTGCCTTCATATGACGCCCCAGAAGGCCAACTAAACGTACCTTTTCCCATAGTTTTGCCTCTAAACCATTGTCCTACATACATACATCCATCTGTCCACCAATATTTTCCATGTCCATGTGGAAAATTATCAGCCCAATAGCCCGTGTAGTAATCACCATTGGGAAGAAATCTCTCTGCATGATACACTTCTCCGCTTGCATGCACTTCTTCTTGATCTTCATTTTCTTCCTCAGCATTTCCTATTAAATTCGACCCCCCAAAAATCGTTGTGGCCCGTTTCTTGGCTGCAGCGTGTGTTATACGTACAGTGGCCTCCCACGCCTTCATGGCTTGACAAAATTCTCTCTGTTCTTCACAAGATTAATCTCCTTTTCAGCCTTTTTCTTAGTCAATATGCATTACATTTCTGCACAGATTTCAACCTTTTTATCACGCAAGAAAAATTATGCAGATAATGAATGTCTCTTTTATGGAAATCTCAGACATTGATCAGCCATGCATAAAACCAGGCTAAGGTTGGACAACAACAGAAAAACATTCCTGGTTTCTCTCTCCTCCCTATTGAAAGCAACTTAAACCCAAAAAAAAAGGAAAAAAAACCACATTTTAGTGAATTCCTCAATTTCCAAGTTTTTTTTTTTTTTTGCGGGGTGGGATTATGGTAATGGGATAGGAATTCCACAAACGGTCCTATGATAATGGTGGACTTAGGACATATGTTAAGAATGTAATGGTCAACGTGAGAGGGAAAATCTTACCTGTACTATGTTTAGACAGCAAGTATTATAGAAATTTCTGCAATGTAAGGGAGACTTTTTCTTCAACCGCATAACATTTTGAGGCCCTCCGACATTTGGCGAGATAACTGGAGTTAGGGCTATCCATTTGTTATATTTATACATTCTGTCTTTGTATCTATATCCATGCACATTTTCATTTTTAACAAGCTAATAGTTTTCATGAACCATTTCACTTATAGGGAACTCCAACATAATCTTAAAATACTGATTCCACATTAAATTATTTTATTGATATATTTAAGCAATTGGAAAAAAATTATATGTTTATTTATATACATCATTTGAATTAAATTTAATCAAATATAGAGAAGTAATAGTGAAGGGAGTGTAGAGTATATGTTTTATCGTGTAAAAAAGTTTTTTTTTTTAAAGGTAAGTTTAATTGGTATTATAATATAAGAAACTTAAAAATGTAGTATTTAACTTACTTTTATATTGTCAGTTAAACTGTCATGAGGTATTATGCTTTTCATTAATAATTCTTGAATCTCTTTAAAAAGGCGAAAACCGTCTTTCCTTTATTGGCAAGTCGCCAGTCCATCCTTTCCCACACTAATGTCATTATGCTAATTGTACATAAAAATAATACATAAAATATTAGGGTTTGACAAAACTCGTGAACTGATCCGACAGAACCGGACTCGAATCGAACCGAACCGAGGGATTCTTTTTAAATTAAATACCCAAACGGATATTTGAATCGAGAATGACATGTTCGGTTTGATTTTTGGTTCTAGACCAACAACCGAATAAGAACCAAATATCACTAAATTTTTTATCTTAAATAAGCCAAATTATTTTTTTTTTGGCTAAATTAAGCCCCCGTTTGGTGTACATTTTTGGAAAAAAAAATGCATTTTTACTGTTGATGTGATGAGAACTATGTGGTTGAAAAATAAGGAAAAGTTATTGATATGATGAAAAATATTATTTTATTGAAGAATGTGTGGTTAAAAATGAGTAGAAGAATGAGAATGAAAAAAATAATGTGGGTCAAACATGGCCTAATTTACTAACTAATTAATTTAGTCCAAATTCAAAATATGATTCTCCTATTTCTAAACTAAGCAAATTGACTAAATTTTACCCGAATATCTTATTTTACCGTAGTGCCGTTTCTACCGTTATGGAGAAATCAAATTGGAAGTCTCACTTTATTATTGTAAGATCGTTATCTTTCTCTTCCTATAATTTTAACAGCTAAATCTATGAGAAACTCAACAAAGAAAGGCTTGAAATAACGGAGTTCGACCCAACTAACACCTAGAGGGGGGTGAATAGGTGTTTATCCTGAATTTAAATTAACCAATTAATAAATGCAACAAGTCACAATTATTAATTAATCGAGATGAATTCACATTCACTACCATCCCATGTTGAATTGCCGCAAATAATAAATTACTAAAAATAAATAGCACTTGAATTCCTTCTGAATTCGTCTCTCTCTTGTGGAAAAATAAGAACTCCTTGTTCTCCAACAACTGAAACTTCGATCACCTTCCTTGATCTTCAGAACTCTGATAGATATTATGGAAGTAAGTGGTTTGGTGTTTGGTTTTTGTGAGGATGATGTTTTCCAATGCAATGATGAAATCAATATGAAAATTGAACTCTAGGAATGATACGGAGGAAGTAATCACTTGTTTCTCTCAATGTTCAACTCATAATGTTTCGAATGGTGGCATCCATATATAGTGTAGAGGTTTTGGGTAGTATGGGCCGGATAAAACCTTAAAAAATGTGAATTAGGTTTTCTCGTAATACAATGTGGCTCGAGTGAAGTCCAGGTGACAGGCGAGCGACGCAACTTCTGTTTTTACAGTTAGAGCATCAGCTGGACGATAGGCCGACGAAATTGCGGCATCTCTTTTCCCTTCGTTCCATACTCGAACCCTACGACTTCTAACTAACCACTCGACACTTTGACTTTGAAAAACTCTTTTACAACAATAATTTTGTTCAACGATTGCCAACAACTTTAAAACTTAACAAACCCTTTGACATTCTGTGACAAAACGCATATTAAAAATCAAAGTCGATTCGATCTAATCTACCCAAAACCAACTGACTCGGTTGAATCTTGCTTTTCCTTTGTTCAACCCGTTTTTTGAAAAAAATAACTCAAATACCAAGCGTAAAAGTACGTGAAACAGTAATAGGATTAAAAGCATTTGAGACAGATATTTATAATTTCAACCACATACCAGCTAAATTAATAAAGAAAACTCAAATATCAAGTGTAAAAGCACTTGAAACAGTAATAGGAATAAAATCATTTGAGACATGTATTCATACATTCAACAATATACCGACTAAATTAAGATGCAATATCAATGTAAGCCAACACTAAAACCAAACATTGATATTACTAAATATCAAAACTTAATCTATCTAAACATTCAAATATCATCTCTCATTCAAAAAAATCTCCCCCTTGCTATAAAATAAACTAAAATTAATATGCAATTCACAATTCATCATCTCTCCCACTTTTTGTCACAAATGACAAATGTAACAACAATATATAATAATTCAAAGATGTAGTCGATAGCATACACAACCATAATCAATGATCAGTAAACTTTCCCACATACTCAATTCAAGTTTAATTGAAGTAAATTGTATAAGTGATTCACGCGTATTAAGTGCTACTAATTCTTTGTGATCAAGGCTACAAACCTTATATTTGTTAGAAAGGACATGCTAATCATCACTGTTAAATAAGCTTATTCCTCTATTAATGAAACGTAAACCAATAATGCATATTAGGACCTTTAAATGAAACTCATTTTTCATGGAAAATTATTTTTTTCTCCCCTTGACTTTGAGCATATATACATTTTCACACAATTTATATTTTTCTTTTTAAGCCCATCATTTTTCCCTTCAATTTTTCACATCTTATGTACAGACACTTCTCCATTAAGCGACTAAGATAACCCCGTAACAAGTTTTGGGTCGATGACTTGAAGTTAGTTGACCATAGGGCATCAGGTTATGAGAAACCCCTCGAGCTTAATTACACGAGTCAAATAGGGTTCAAAGAAGAGTATAAGATGAAACATTTTTATTTTATTTAAGGGGATATACTCAAGTTTAGGTCTACTAAATTAACGTCAATCAATGTTCAAGGTCACCTTACCAATAGATGACGGCCATCCTAAATCTCACACATATGGTCAAGACTTACTCACAAGATCATAGTATGTGCAATGTATATGGTATATGAAGAAATCTATACTAATTACTCCACATATACCTAAACAAAGTAATGGAAAATATGTTACAACACATCAATTAAACTCATACTTGGTCACAACATACATGTTCAAGTAAATTATATGGGTATGTTTGGTAAAAATTCTCATTTTCAACAGTAAATCAATTCTCATTTTCAACCACACATTCTTCAATAAAATAATATTTTCTAATCACATCAATAATTTTATCTTCTTTTTCAACCACATATTTCTCATCATATCACTATGCAAAATCAATTCTTCCCCCAAAAAATCCATACCAAACACACACTATATCTCAACGAGGGAGAATATAATATGTTTAAAATATGTAGTTCAAACTTTGACTATGCCCCTGTTTGACACCCATTTTTTATCTCATTCTCATTCTCATTTTTCTACAGTACTCATTTCTAACCACACATTCTTCAAATAAAATAATATTAAACATAAACCCAAAAATTCTTCCTACTTTTTAACCACACATTCTTTACATCAATCACTATTCAAAAACTCATTCTTCAAAATAATGGGTGTCAAACGGGGCCTATGTTTGATTAAAATAAAAATACGGTGGCAGATTTTTCTTTAAAAAAAAAAAACATGCATCGCAGTTGCCTATACAGTATCAAAACAAAAAAATCAAATGGGATCAAATGCAATGAACTTAAAAACGTGTCAAACTTGGCACTGCAATACTACTTAATAATTTTCAATTAATTTTTTTAAATAAATAAATTATTCTTTTAGGGTCGAGAGAAAAGATACGTACAAGTTTTTAATGAATTTCGATGATAGGAAAAAATGGTAAATATAATTCTAGTTCTTATGATCATCCAGAAATTTATGCATATAAATCGAACACGTTTGATAATGTTATATAGAATTAGACCGTATGAAAACGTCTATCTATCTTTCCGACATGTATTAATATCACGATAAATAGAAATGATTTATCTTTTTCATATAGGATTAATTAATTTAATACTTTTTTATACCATAAATTAATTAGTTTATCCAAAATTAAAAATAAAGCGGCTCTTTTGCAGGCTACATCAATAAATTAATTTATTGAAAAGTCAAAAAGTTTATGAACCGTCTTGGACGAAAATGGACGGTGTGCCAATAGTTTTTTTTTTGGTGCGTCATAGTCCCCATGTCATGACTACATGATTTAACCCAGTCCGGTCAAAAATAATAAATAAGTAAATATTATAAAGTTGACTTGAGATGTAAAGACTGTCCAACGTGATATTATCACACAACATGACATAAAGGGTGATGCAAA